TTTATGACTGGTATGACATTACAAATTTTGAAAATAAATGGGAAAATACCAGATGTCAAACAATTATTAAAAATATGAGTTAAGGAAAAAACTGAAATAAATATGAAATTACAAGCAACACCAAAAAAAATAATTAACTATTAACACGAGCTGAAAATTAAAAAAATAATAACAAAAAATTGAAATTAAAAGATTCCAAACCAAGTCACTTCACGACGTTTCGATTGTTAGTATCCACAATCGTCTTCGGGTGATAACTGGACTTATTCCTCCGAGATCTGACTATTTATAGGTCATTTGAGTGATTTCCCCTCTCTCCGCTTCATTGGTTTTAGCGGGAGCTGACCGTTTGGCTGGAGTTGGTCATGTTCCGCTTGATTAGAGGTTTCCATATGTTACGTATCTCTACGCTGGCTTGGCTAAACGCGTTGTTGGACAACATATATGCTACTTCTTTGAATTTTCCCCTAAACCATATCTAGTCATCACATCTTGTGAAAAGAGGTCATTTAATTCAACCAATAGAAACGAAAGCACGGCCACCACCAATAAAAAATTTCAACCTCGAATGTAGTATGTGCTATGAGGAAAACCCAAGCACTTCGTCCTTTGTCTTAACGCCTTTGATAGTCCACCGCAGTAGTGGACGAAACGTAAGGTATAAAAACCTGCAGATCACGCAAACAAAACCCAGAAAATAGCTTCGCTACATTTACATTCGGTCGTTAAAATTTACACTCTTTGATGTTAACATCAATGAAATTCATTGTGAAAGAGAAAATTTTTCTTGGATCAGTCTCCTATCAGTTACTCAGTAAAAACAAACAAAAAAACGTGATTAATGAAGTAAAAACTTTTTTTCAAGGTTGACTATAAAAGCTATCTCTTGGACTTCAAGAGTTTAAGCAATGAAGACAATGAATCAAACATTAGTCATGTACTCAAGGATTTCGTAGCTACCCCTATTCAAAGTTCCAGCTTCAGCCTGAACCCTCAGAAGGCAACTGGTCATCATACAATGGAATTTTTTGAAATGTGTGCCGCACTCATCATACAATTGGCACGTTAAAAGAAATGAAGAAACTGCATAACTGTGTATCTAGAACATTTTTATTTTGATATATAAATGAAATATTTTAGTGCTATTCATTTTCACAAGTCATGAAATATCACTCTACTATATCAGTCTAGTTGAAACTTCTAATAGCATGCATTTCATAGTTTATTTTCATAGCCTTGAAATATTTTTGAAACCATTTGATACTATTTGAATGAGCCGCAATTTGACTGGTTTTTTTTCAATACAAATCAGACCATTTGGTAGAAGAGCATCTCAAAACTGTGGGTGGGTACTTGTGTCATGAGGCTCTCCTTTGATATTGAATCGAACTCAAGTTTTATCGAAGACTTGAGATGAGTGAATTTTGAGATTACTCTCAAAATGTTTCATCTCAGGGAATATTCCTTCAAAATTAAATATTTTTTTATACCATCACACTTGATTTGCACATTTTGACTTAATGAATATGGAACCCAATGTGTCATTATAAATAGAATTCCTCGTACATAAAATTGAAAAACTTGACAGTGACAAAACCCAAGACGAATATTTTTCAGAAAGTTACATAATATTGAAGTAAAAGTTAGTATAATGTTATAAATGTATTTTACAAAGTTCGAATTAAGTTCGCTCCCTCTCAGAAACTTCACAAAAGATATTACTATTTTTTTCTATTCTATTCTTTCGACATTGCAGATAAATTAATGAGACAATTTGCATACATAGCAAAAAAGTTGTATTGTAACAGTCCCGAAATGTGATTCCTCCAAAAGGAAATTTTAAATATGCCGATAAATCAAAGTTATTCGTATGGCATTCAATACCTCTCATCAGTTCAGTTTTCAATACCAAAAATAATGCACAAAGTTGAATTTTACGAAAATCACTTTCTTTTATACCAATGAACGCTCAAGCCTTTTTCACAAAATTGTCACTGTAATAAACAATATAAATTATTGAAATGTTTGAAGTTTTAAACATTATGGTTCTTATCCTTATTAACTTTTTATGAATTGATCATAAATATTTCGTTGTATTTAATATTACCTGAAATTTATATTGAAAAGTTTTCTCGATGTTACTCATGTAAAACGATTCAATTTGTTTGTCAGCAGAAAAATGTTATTATGTTGGTAGTTCGTTGCTTTACCCAAATCATAGATTGAATGATTTAATTAAAGAGTGTTGAGGAAAACAATTCGAAAACCATTATAAAAACTTCCATTGTGAAACGAGAATCTAGGATGAATTCATAGAATAGACAACTCTAGTCTAACTAGACAGAAAATTGAATGTAACGGTTGAGTTCAGGTTTTTTTTTCTCATTTTACAATATTCGGCCAGAAAGTTCAACTGAGAAACTGTGATGATTTAAATGAAGATATTAGCTCTGACTATTTTGGTAGTCATAACTGAATAAAGCACAAATAAAGCTACACAAATTTCAAAACTCAATACATTGAATCTATATTTGTAAAGCAATTGACTGACCATATGTGTAGAGCTGATATTCAAAATATTTAACTTTATGAGTTGATTTTGATATCTTAGAGATCACTTATTTATTGATTTTATGTATATATTTTTCTGTAAAATATTGTACTTATTGTATTGAAAACTTTTAATTGTGTATTATAGGAGCCTGTACTGAAACGAAATATAAATTAAGTAAACATTTTTGCACTTTTAGGTAATCAACCTTTCTTATTGAGCCAAACGGTAGCTGGTTGGTTAGCGAGAATGATTTGAAATACTCATTTAGTCTGTCACTATTTGAACATTGGTACGATTCCAATTCTGGGATAATTGATGTTCATTGCATATCTTCCCACTCGTGCTAAGAATTGAACTTTAAAAAGTAAAAACTCGTTAATCCTTCTCATCATCATTGTCATGAAGGAAGTTAACATCTTTAAGGCAAAGTAGATATAAAAATGATCACCCACGGTGTCACCATAAAAATATATGTTTATGTTAGGAAGAAATTGAAATACAAATTTGAAAGCAGGAAAAAAGATAACTAACACTAACTAACTACACTAGGTCAAAATAAAAACTAAAAATTGCTCTTCAGATTTATCGAAAGTAATATCTCAAGACCTCAACATTTTACCGATGAATCTCCATTTTTAACTATAACTTTATTTGGCAATACCATAAGAGCAAATAGCATGATAAAACCACGAGTCCATTGCACAAGTGGTTTTATCTATTACTGATTGCTTGACTGGTATTGCTCAAAAATAACAAAGTTTGAGTTGAAAAAATGAACATTTTTCTGAGAAAATTTTAGGTGGAAGGTATTTTTGAAGATTATTTTCAAAAATATTCTCAGCGGAATGCGTCAATACAAAAACAAAATATCAGATTGAAGATATATGAACAGAGTACGTGAGTGATTAACCTTGTATTTTTCAACAATAGTCGACCTACTTGACACGGCTAGATCACCAGTACCTACTACTTCCTGTTGGAGACTGTGTTTCCGACAATACCAGTGTCGAATCAATCTTCAAGTCGAATCCAAACACCAAAGCTTTGAGAATCTTCATGCCGTATTCGAAAATCTTCAGATACAATACGAGGATAACGGGAAGTTTGCAGAGCATAATTTCCTCCCACGCTGCGACCTTCTCTTAGTTTTTGACGAAGTCAGCCCTGCTAAACTGTTCTTGGAGACGAGTACCTTGAGCGCTTCTCTGACAGTCCTTCCTCAATATTGAGTGGCACGATGAGAAAAGGTTGGATATATTCTGTAATGTGGTCCCCGGTAAGATGAATAGTCAACTTTTGTTGCCTCTCGAAAATGTCACTTATTGGTGTACTGGTCAAGTTGATCCTTCTGGTTGAATGTCTTTTATTTTTCGATTCCATTACGTTCCATTTATTATTTGAATCATTGCTCAATGCAGAGTCAACGAGAGGTTTTTCATCTTCAGTATAATATTTAACCGACTCCTTTAGCTCAAACATTTCATCATTGAGTCCATTCTAATGAAAAACCTAGAAACTCTTCCGCATCTTGTTGTTTACCCTCGATCCAGTAAGTCCGCATGTTATGCAACATTTTATAAATCCACGTGCATCCCAAGTGGGATGCCAGTGTTGATAAAAACTTTATGGTCATTCTTGACATTTTTATCCACTCTTTCGTCTTGCGTCTTAATGTAGAAAGGTGAATAAATAAACTGCTCCACAAAACGACACATTTCATTCATTCGTTTGAAGAGATGTTTTTGCTCAGACTGTTCAGTAAGTTCTAGAGTGGTGAATATGCGATCAGAGCTTGCAAAATCGAATTGATGTAGCAGTAATTGATTTGATTGAGCAGACCCCTTGGCTGCAAGTTCACTGCCGTACCGTCGTTCGTATATGTAGATAGAAACGTGCTCACCCTTCAACAGTCTGGATCTACAAACTGGTGAGACCTTCTGGAGTTCTTGAAGGGGCATATGAGAAGATTGTTTTAAACTCGTTTTCAGCGTCCTGGTCAATAGCGACTTCGTCGAAATTGTTAACAGGTTCAGGCATAGGCGGATGTTGGTGGTTCATCGTCGGGGAGATCACAGTGTGCGGATAGTGGTCAAAAGGTGAAGATTCGGCTATTGGTTGAATCACCGCAAAATTTTCCCGGGTTTGAAAATGTTTTCTCTTCTGCATTTGTCCTTTTATGATGTTGAAACTGTTAGTGCTCAGTTTGCCTGTTAAGTCTTCTACCACAACACTTTTAGAATCATAATCTGATTCACTTTTATTACCGTTTGGATAATTTTCAATAGAAGAAGCTGGGGATAAATCTGTTGTATCAGGAAACTTAGTTATATCAGACCAATTCTGTGGACGAAAGAAAGTTTCATTGAGACTTTGAAAAGGAGAAATAGAACCAATAATTGATGCAGCATTGCCTCTCTGAATTGCAATACTGATTTGTTGTATTAAAAGAAATCTTGCCCTCGAATCGCCTGTTACTGTCATTAGTTTTTGACCAATATCTCTGAAAAAGTCGGAACCAAAAAAACCAGAGCTTCCAAATGTTTCAATTGCGATTGGATAGAAAATAAAGCGATCTTCCAGTATTGCCGCTGTTTAATTTTTTCAGCATATTCAGCGGCTCCAGCAGCTTTTTGCGAAGTTAAATTGAGGAGAGCGAGCCAAGGTATCAATACAGGTAAAGTCCCATACCAAAGGTATGCCATGTCTCCAAGGAATCGTTTTCCATCATCTTGGATGATTCCCAGAGGTTCAATCAGAGAAGAGATATTGGCTATTAATAATGCATTAAATTTACAACTGAGGCCTTGAGTACCATATTCATCAACAACGAAACCACACCGATATTTGTGATTTACACAGATCAAACATCCTAAACGAAAACCTATTGAAATTCTGAAACTTTCATCGTCTAATAATGTTCCCAAAGATGTAACAGAAGTGCGTTGAGCCAGAAGCCAAATTTCTTAGTTGTTACAGTTTTCAGGCAAGCCTGATATGTAAGCGAGTCCTTAGCTGCAAAAAATCAGTTCTGTAGATAACATATGCAATAAAGGAAAATCCCATGATTTTTGAGAGCCCTTATTATCAGGTATTGGAGCATTTGATTTTTCCATCCATATTTTTTCAACTTCCAAATAAAATGTATCATCAATATCAGAGAAGAAATTTGGTAAAATGAAATGAATCAGATGCTTTACTCTACTGAAGGAGGAGAGGAAAGCTGGTGAAGAAAGTGAAGATGATTTACCGATGATTTTCCAGTAGTTAAACTGTTGAATTTTTCTACCGTTGATGCATCTTGTGAATTTAAAAAAAAATCGCATTTTTCAAAATTCAAATTTAATTCAATTTCTTCAGAGGACGATAATATATTTTTGAACTGACTGAAAACTATATTCGAGTAACCACCTATATACCCTCATCCAAGTACCAACAGTTGAAATCAGTTTCAATTGATTTCGTCAAACGATTAATGGATAAGCAGAAAAGTGCAGGACCCAGAGGATCTCCTTGTTGAACTCCCATTTCCGACATGACGACATTGTCTCCATGATAACACTGGCTGATGATGTGGAAAAGATAAAATGTCTAGTATCTGACCGAAATTTCGGTTTCGGTCGAATTTCGGCAAAAAACGGGTTTCGGTTTAGTTTCGGTTTCGGCGCTAAACCTGCCGAAACTACAACCGAAACTGCATTCGGGAGTTCCCACGCTATGATCGGTCATGTTCGGCGCATTGAATTTCATACAAGCGTCAAAGACATTTTGCCGCTTCCACGTGCCTTATCATGTCGTGACTATTGTGATATTAGGTAACAACTCAAATAAGTAATTTTATGTTTAATATTTTTGAAAACTCGTCAATAATATTCAAAAGAAGAATTTACACCTACTCGAATAAACACCTCACGTATTTTAATTATGTTTAAAATACAATTGTCTATTGTATTGGCTAATGAAAGAGCTGCAAATATCCTGGGTGATTCAGGTATTCTCTTCAAAATGCTCACATTCTGTTTCAGGTATGCTCAATGAGCATTCAATTTTTCGAAAGTGAGATTTTAATTGGGCAGAAATGTTCGAACGTTCGAAGATTCACTAGTATTTGAGAAAGAGGCGTTGAATGTTTTTTCCTCATATGAATGTTAATTTTTAATAATAATAATAATACATTTATTGCAAAACGATCATCACAGGACACAACAATAGTCGGGTACAGGTTGATATTCATAATTTAGGATCTTTAATAATATATTACCATAACTAGCTATGATTCTTGAGTTCACTAGTATATTAAATCCAAATTAAAAATGTTTCATGTATATTTTAATTACATATTTTTTATAAATATTTCAGTACCCTACAGTAATCACAAAATGTTATTCATGTTTTACATCTGCTTCCTTCTTTGTAAGATTTCCACATATTTTTTGTATAAAAATGAAGAAGTAGAAAGTCAAAACCTTCTTTTCCCAAAACTTAATCTCTCCAAAAAATATACCCCTTTCAAATTAAACAAGATTTCTATGGCTGGGATTCAATCGAATAAGCGAATGAATGTCATTACGTACTGTCACGTTGACATGAGTAGATTAAACTCATTCGTGACAAAGTCATAAATTTATGAATGAATTGAGTACTTCATCTCATAATGTTGACTAGATTTGATGCTGAAGAGGCGATAAGATAAGTGTCTTAAGCCGAAACATTCGATGTCCACCGGTGAGGATGACGGTGTTTCATGTAAGTGAATGATATCTGATTCAGTTCCACAACGAATGTTTGAATTACAAACTGAATAGAGAAAAGTGTTCTTTGTATAAATCAGTATTTATGTTTCACATGTAATTCAATTCAATATGAAAGTAGTTGTTTCGAAAGAGCTTTCTTTCCAGTTTGTGTTGGAAAGTTACTCCTGTAGCACACAAAACAGAATTATGCAGTCCTCTCGCTGGAGCCTGAACGGCGTCCTACTCCCGGTCTATCACGTCTTCGGGTCCACCTTTGACCCGCCTTCACGATGCGGGTTCTTCAGCGTCGTATTTCTGACGAAACCAGTTACTGATGATAGAGCCTAACTTTCAGAACAAAAATGAATAAAGATTAAAAAATCCGCTTATTTTATAGAAAAATCCTCTCTGCCGTGGTGAACGCCCTAAATTGGCCTCTAGGCCAAAAAGCAT